AGCAGGGGATGATTTAGGGCGGGGCTACACGGTGATTGACAGGTCGCAAGAGTGGTTCTAAAGTTGTAAACAATGCAACGCGACTAAGTTGTTCTCTCATTGGTGAGAATTGCCTAAACACAGACGTGCAGCGAGATGTCTGAATATCAATACATTTATGCCAATTTGGAATTAAAACACCATCACAGTTCAATTAGTTAAAATGATTATACTTATATACGAGTAGCACATAAGATTCACAATTTATTATTTGGTGTTTATGTTTGAAAAAGCACAATTTCTTTCTGTTATAGCTTCACTTCACTTTGTTGCCGCTAAAAACCGGCCCAGTTCTCCCGGTGGAAAGAGTTCGTCTGGAGCGCTGGTGTGAAGGGGCCCTGGAGCCAGCTAATGGGAGACTGACAGACAGACCCCCACCAAGAGCCCCTCCACAGGGTGCAGAGTGTGTGTTTGATGGGTGGGTTACTGCGGTTGTTAACAGGGGCCCCTAATCCTGGGGCCGGGCTCTAATCCTGCCACCGGTCTGCTGTGGACTGTGACCCTGATGGCGCGTGTCTCAGAGTACCCCCCCCCCTCACACTCACTCACACACACACACATACACAAGCCTGTTACCCCTCACAGCTGAGGAGACACAGCAGCTGAGACGGCAGAAGACCCCATTAAACTGAATAAACACACACAAACACACACTACACAGACTCAAATTGACACATTCCCACAGAGACAGATATGCGCCAACAACAACACACACACACACACACACACACACACACACACACACACAGAGACACACACACACACACACACAGACAGACAGCTGACCACAGCAGCCTTACAATAACAAACAGTTGAGCTACTAGAAATACCGGAGTGAGAGATGAGACTGAAGGCCTGAAAACTGAAACCAACACAAAACGCATCCTGCAGATTCCAGCAGCCAACAGAATCCCACAACGAAAACATGACAAACATTTTTATTCACGACCCGGCCGGCCAATCAAATCGCTGATTGGTGGCCGAGCGCTTTTGTGCAACAAACAAACGAACCTCTGATTACGGCCGCCGTTCAGAGCCAATTACAGTCATTTGTGATTGCTTTGTGAATTCAGACTTCTCTTCAGAGACTGTCAATCATTCGTGATTATCAGGCACAGAGATTGTTCAACAAAACACAACCACGATTTCACCAAAATAGTGCTCAATCAAAATAGAAACGCATTCAGATTTGGCTCTGAATGCGGATTTATTTTCACTTTAAACCAGCTGCATGTAAGATAATAACTGGAACCACAGAGGAGACCTTCAGCAGTGGTGACCAGACATCCATAGCCACAATGTTAAACACAGTTAGAGACAGATCTAGAAGATAAACATACATTTCCACATAGAAACACCACTAACTGTGATCTTTTTGACAAATCTGAATTAATATCACAATACACAACCTGAAAATCACCTCATATAAAATGATGTTCATCTCTTTGAACGTCAACATAAGCAGACAGAGGCCGTGCAGTGAGACAGGTAGTGGACTGTAGTGGAG